GAGGCAAACTCGTAAGGACATCCACTCTATAGCTGCGTGAAGATATGTGTGGGCTAACATTGAACAAGATGCCTGGACAACCCGTGTAATTGCGTGCAGAGATAGGTGAAAAACTCGTCCGAAGACGCAGGAGAAATAGGTCGAGGGTGGTTCCTACTCTGAAGACGCCACCCCTTGATGGGGACCAGCTTTGGTAAGCAAAGCTGGCAGTCACTTCTTCAAGAACAGCAGAGAACACCATCGCTCAATTCAATCCAGAGCGGGATATCTGCACATAATTCCAACACTGACTAGTTGGAATGGTAGAAGCGGATCAGACGTATAGTTACCAACTGGTCATACTGTACTGTGTGATGAATGACGGATGATGAGTATCACTACCGAAAGCGATTGGTTGTAAGGGAAAAAGCTAAACCATGTTTCTACGAGTGTTCTAGCACGCCCGAAAAAAAGACAACTATCCATATCGTCCGTACAGCCCATATATCAACTTTGCAACACCGAAGGATTGCAAAATTAATTCGCAGGCTGTCACTTTTAGTTGCACGTTAAATCTATTCACTAAGCACAGGATTTAGGGAACTGTTATATCTAGCAACGTTGTGGAATGTAGGTAGTTCGGGTACGCTACTTGGTTGTTGGTCTGTTCGCCGAGCTTGGCAGTTGGATTGCAAACGTTTCATTACCAATCGAGGTGACATCGTCAGTGCAGGGTTGAGTGGGTGAATTCCTCCTCTCCTGCCCGTGATTATATAGCTATATAATCACAGGCAGGAGAGGAGGAATTCACCCACTCAACCCTGCACTGACGATGTCACCTCGATTGGTAATGAAACGTTTGCAATCCAACTGCCAAGCTCAACGAACAGACCAACAACCAAACTGCTATATCTGACTGCTGTTCCCGCTCCGGTGACGATAAAGAACACAAGCGAGTGCGTGCGGGTGCAACACGTATAAGGGACCTCACGCTATTTGAATTTTACTTTCATCGATTCAGGCTGTTGCTGAATCGATTGAATTCTCGATTGGCCTGGATGCTTGCCGGCTTCCCTATTGAGATTTTGGTGGATTTTTTTAGTCTCAGTAGGTTTAGAGCACTCTGGGTTACTTTCAGGAATCTGACCTTCCTGACAGAAACCAAGCAATCAAGTCCCAGCGAGCTTGAATACTTTTACCTCCACCGCTGTTATTATGCTAAAAGTGTGTAATTATGGTAATGGATGGACCATGAAGTGAGGAGACCATGTTTGCAGGAAAAACACTACCAAGAGAAAGGATATCAAGTTTAAGGAAACGGAAAAACCTGTGCAAATCACAGCTGCCCTAAGGTAGGATGCATGGATGAGGGCCCTGACCGTCTTTTTGGGCTTTCTGACAGCAACTAAGCTCACGAATAATAATAAACTGAGCAGATAAAAGAAACTTTGTCATTCACTGGTATACTGTCGTGGATGATGAGGATTGAGCGTGCATTAGGTACGAAATTACACGAGTGGAACCCTGATAGTACGTTACCATTCGATTAGTGCCAACTCGTTTCCGTCAACACAATTAGTTTGGCAGACAGGTGTGTAGGCTTATCAAGCGGGAGATTGCCTGCAGAAGAAAAGCATATATTCTTTCAGCGGTCAGGTGAAAATCGGAGGTTGCGGAAGGTAACCGATTATATTCAAGTCCTCAAAAACGTACGCGTTCAGTAGGTCTCGCCAAAAACTGCTGAGTGGTCAGGTAAAGCAGTCATGTTGAAGACAGTCAGAACACAAGCACTCCAGAGTGCAGGAAAGCTGTGTATCTGAGGCTCCAGAAAGGCTTTCAACGTACGCAAACCAGCAGTGACTCCGATCCTAAGAGGTAGCAGAAGTCCACTGGTCCAGGGAAGTTCAGTGTCGCCAACATTTGTATTCTCCAAGATAAGAACCATATAATCAGCATAAGCGATCATATTGTGAAGATATGATGGTCCTTAGGTCGTTTCCAAAAAGTCACTCAATTATTTTAGAATGCAAGTGAACTATAGACTGAAACTTCTGTTGCAAAATATGACAGCTGAAGACATGAGGAAACTATGAATTTAAGACGGATGCATTGTCCATACCAGTGTTGTGTCCATCGTTTTTTTTCATCAGAAGGATTTCAAGAGCAAAGGCCACTGGATTTGTTGAACCAACTTAGTATAAGAAAATGCATAGATCCACTGCCCCATAGTTAGACGAAAGACATTTGAGCCATTAACACATGCCGTTGGTCGACATTTCCAGGTGCCAACCGATGGTTTTACCCAGTAGGTTGTTGCACTGACTACCTGAGATCTCGTCCGAAATCGAGTGGTGAGATCACTAGTTCGTTGTACCGCCCATCTGCTCTTTGGATGTGTTGATATTCTAACGAGCACGTAGCATCACATAAGGTTCACACGTGCAGTGGAACAAAGTCCGTTGACAAATATCCCTCGAAAAAGTTTGATGACGTCTGTAGTGTACACGAATCGCGAAAAGTCGGTCAGATCAGGGAAACACAAAATAATGGCCTATAACGTTCGAATCAGGCTGAACTGGAATTCGGAAAAACTGTAGATGCCTATTTTTTGACGAGCTATACTCATTTGCAAATTACATTACCCGTTTGTGATATCCCTCAATTAAATGTGATGCACAGACTTCTGGTATTTCTGTTGGCACGATAATCGAGATATCACAGTATATTTCGTTCCTGAAAATCCTTCGACATCCCAAGACCGGTTTCTCCATTCTTGGGGTTCATAGGTGAAGCGTAGTCTCAGCGCTTTCATCAACCTTGTGTTCTACTTGAACACCAAACTGTAGGTAATTGATCAAATACACTCATCTCCGACCTTTTTGAAGCACATTCAACTGGGAAATGTAACGAACGAGGGGTTCGGTTGAGTCACACGATTCCACCAACTAACTGTGCAAACGAGCGTGTTTTGTGTATAATTTGGGTTCAAGCAGACCACAAGGTTCACGGAAACGTTGGGACTATGCCTACCTCATGAGCTCCAAGAAACCGGTCGCACAGCGTTTCGTTTAGCAACCTCATGAGCAGTGTGTTCCATCATGATTCTTCTTTGACGTTCCTAATTTGTGTTTGTGATTGGTAGATAGCTTTTAGTTTAGAGTCAGCCGGTCATTTGTAGATCGGCGAATGTCGTGCTAGAACGGACGCGTTGTAGGAGAAAGCACTGGTCAATGTTTCGGCTGGTATTGAACCAACTGCTTTGCAAGCCAGTGGTAGTCCAGGGGAGAAATAGTCACGAGAAAGAACCAAACTATAAAAGGAACACAAGCAAAAACGCCCCAATAAAACCGAAAGTTTGATCCAGAAAACTCAGGCAACAAGTGTAAACTAACGGAAGTTAGCTGAAGAGCAGTGATTTTATGCCAAGCTTTCGAGAATCACGAATCCACCTCAGTACGACAGTGACTGCAGCTGAAAGGGTACACTAGTCACAAATTTAATCGATTTACGGAAAAAACAAGACCCAATATATAGATCTAGTATGGGTTAATCAGACGAAATGGGCGAATTCCACACTTTGATGTTCAGGAGCGTGTGCCAGAAACTTCCTGGCAGAAGGTCCATGCAGAACGCCAAAGGTTCCGAGGAAGGGTCTTTCCGTTCCAATGAGATATGGCGCAGAAGTGTCATCATCATCATCATTGTCAGCTGTAATAACCGCGTACTCGTCGGTGGTTGGTTGTAGTTGCCACAGTTTCGTTCACCGATGATTTTGGGGGAGGGGCAGAAGTGTAGCAAGATGCGTTACACATCAAATGTCAGAATACAAACAGCCAAAAGCTACATCCACCTTCGATAGCCTGGTGATTAGAAACTGTGCTGAGCCAAAGAAGTGACCGATGCTCCAACATCACAGGCTAGAAAAATACCATCCCTTGAGTTGACCAAATATACTTGGAAAAGGTCAGTGGGCCCCGTGATAAGATAAAATGACACCCCATTTTCTCAACTGCAATTATTAATAATTATAAATAATGGCCAATAATAATAACAATACTTCATCCGTAACACCCTCCCGGTGCCTAGCTGCCATGCCACCCGAAGGAAGCACGAGGGCTGGAATACTGCCAGGTTGCTCAAGCCTAGACAGGGGAATTCGAGAGGTGCAGGTTGGATTCGCACCACGGACCTTCTAGCCAATAANCTCCCCCCCCCCATATATATATAACCTTTTCCCGATCGCTTATCTTCGGCCGTGAGCTTTATGGACATTTTCCGGACATCTAATTTTGTCCATTTGGGCGACTTTTTACAATAGCAGATGACTTATCAGGCATCGAAGATCGATTGAAATTATCAAGATTACGCTTGCAAGACGGAATACTGCAGGGGTTGTATTAGGTGAGAGATGATCACCATGGAATTAGACAATGTAAAGTAATGAAATGGAGCTTTAAAGGGACTGCTTGTGATGCAGCAACCAATATCCCATCACAAACAGCTGTTTACTTGTTGGTGGCTGTTACCAGTTCGTGTATGAGCCAGCTCTGATGCTGCATCGGACCACGGCAGCCCAAGCACGCCGTTTTGAAGGGAATCTGCCACCTACGTCGATGAGCATTAGTTTATCGACGCACGCGCCACGGACGTCTTGGAGACAGCTCGTACACAAAGGGTCTCTTTGTGTTTGGCAATGACGAGCAACTCTAGTAGTTCAATGGTCAGGCGGTGAGAAATGACAGCACACGTTATAAAAAGCTCGGGGTAATCCGACGCACGCTGCATTATTTCGGAGACAGGAACAGCATTGCCTTCGCTGAATACTAGCGCTTCAATAAGATCCCACAAGTGGAGTCACAGAAATGATCGGTCTAAGCACCAAAGCATCGCTACACAACCCCAAAAAAGCCATACTTTTAAAATATTGTCCCAGCTGTCAACGCCGTAACACCATAGGCTGAAGATGGGATTGGAAGTTGCGTTCAGGCGTAGTAAAGGACAGATAAAATCGATGGACTCACCCATGCAAAGCCCAAGTGTGGTACTGCGGAACGCGTCGTCCAGCCTGTAGAACAAATATTCCTGTCAAGCCTGTGTCCAAATTTAGTCCAACAGGGCAACCCTGACGCCCTGGAAGGGAGCAGGAACTCAACAAGAGAACTCGATCACCAGGCTGATGGGTCAGGAAAACGGATTTTGATGGATTTCGACGTTTGTTAGGGCTGGGTGACCTACAGTTTTGCTGCTGAAGGTTAAGATGCCTCTGCTGTTGTTGATATGTACCACCGACAGAAAATCCATTACACCGGGTGGTTGCAGACGCCAGCTGACTAGTTATGGGTGTCATGGAGCTAGACATGGAAACGTAAGGGCCTACTGCGCCATCCGGACTATCCCCAGGCCTTGGAAGCTGATATGATCCCGAGTCGACGGCCATTGATTCCGACGGGCTGCCAAGATCCAAGATTTGTGAGCAACAGTCTCCATCAACCGAGGTTAACATTTCATAGATCTATACACGGAATTCGAAAAGCAGACAAAGTGCAGAAAGTACCTCACGGATTATTTCATGAGCATTTGGACACATAGAAACACGAAGACAGCAAGCCTTCTCAGTAAACGAACGCAGGATACACAAAGAGAAAACAGCTGTGCGCTAACTAGTTGCGTCCCTGTAGGCTACTAAAAACCCCTGCTCAGTAAAATAACCATCGGAATAGACCAACTTTCACTTTATGAGCTAATTGATGAATAAGTAGGAGTAGCTTCTTTTATGCGACACATTTTACTTCCACAGTAACTTATCAGAGACACACGGTAGTAATGCATGTTTACTGTCCCGAAAGACCGCGCGTCTAACAGTCTAGCGTCAAAATACTCGGACGAGAGATCCAATAGCTATCGACCCCGCAAATGGAAAAATGGCAGTTTTTGTGCACTTAAGGAACTAAGATGACGATTTTATAAAAAGCACCTAGTAAACGATGGGTCCACGCTCATGAAGTATCAATACAAACTAAATCTGGTCCAAATGGCCACCCTTTTTCTTCGTTTGGCGCTTCTACGGCACCTTCAAAAATCTTAAGCCGAACGGACCGACAGCAGTGAGTTGGTCACAGCACATCGTCGCGTTCTAATGCAATTGCGCGGTGGCATCCACATGTGCACCATTCACCAAAAAAATGCCTATGGGCCGCCAACCGCTTCACGTGACCTATTCACTAAAAGTCTGACTGTATCGTTTTTGTAGATTATGGCCCTTCGTGCAAACTAAGATGGAGCCACTATATGCTTCAATCGGTTGTTTCAACCCAGATTATTATAGATAGCGCAATCAGCCGTCTTCTCATCAAACGCGAAGGAAAGTAAAAAGTATCGAGCATCACAGTCATATCCCTTGGATCCTTGAGCAACGCGTAGGGAATCGGGGAATGGGTCAAGATGACTCGCCCTGCTGTTGGACTGAGATGAACGGGCCTTGAGTGGTTCAACTAAGTTTGACATCTCAGACACTGCAATTTCAGCTCCGTGGTTCTCTTTCATGATTTACTGCTTACTGAAACTTTCGCGCCTATCGAATTAATGACTGCATTGATACTTTTCATGCTCCGCCTCTGTCCATTTGTTTCAACTCATGGGACCCTGCCACAAGGGAAAATAAAACCCACACAAGAATAAAACGAAAAAGCTGGCGTGGCAAGCACACTTCGGAATGTACCCGATTTTCGTGCAAATCTGTTAAGTTTATCAACGGACCAAAAGCGCCTTGAATCTACCATCGGCAAAAGAGTTATTGGTTCACTAGGAATTCAGAGTTCAAGCCAACGCACTACACACAAGCAATGATTCTATTGTACACTGCTCTTCCACAGACTTGAAAACCTGTCACCTATTAACAGCCACCATGAACCGAATTCAGACTGTTGTCTGATACACGCTCTGAGGATTTTGTGACGTGCCACCCAATACATTTGAATTCCGTTGGTATCGATTAATACTACTCGCAGCATTTCAATACCTGCAAATGGAAAAAATAAACGATCAGCTGTAACATCCTTTCGTCACCTCGCTGCCAAGTCACCCGAAAAAGGCACGGGATCTGAGATAATGCCAGGTTGCCCCAGCCTAGACAAGAGCAGTCGAAATGCCGGGGTCGGACTCGAACAACCACCAGCAAGTCCGTGGCTTAAACACTGAGTAATCACGAGCTCTGTAACATCCGTAGCGCTGGTCGTTTTCATGAGATGCACGTTTGAGAGGACGTGATGTGTCTACACTCAGTGACCGCAGTTCAGTCACCTTCTCATCCAACTGCCCAGACACTTGTAGGTCACATTTGCTGTTGAGCGCATCATATAGTAACTCGTTCGTCCAGCTGTAGCACCCTTTCGGTGCCTAACTGCCATGGCACTCGAAGGTTGCAAGAGAACTGGGATACTGCCAGGTTGCCCAAGCCTACACAGGGGAAGTCGCGAGGCGGAGGTCGAGTTCCAACCACAGACATTTCGTCGGCAAATTCGTGCTCTAACCACTTAGGCCATAGTAATGCATAGCAATGCAGGAGCAAAGGAGCATACGACAGATGCCGGTGACGTAGCTCTTGATCGACCCCCATGCAGAAACATGAGGCAAACTAATTGTGCGGAAATCGTCAGTTTCAGACAAATGCAAATCGGCACTCCGTGAAAAAAGCCACATGGTAACTCAAATACTCGCGTAAAATTTGGATGTAGTATAGTGAAACCAAGCAATATTGTTTGGATTTCGCTAGGCCATCTGTGGAAAAACTCGATGTTTCAACAAATGCATGTATGGTTGGACTAGGAAGAAAACAATTCGGAAGTCAGTGGATTATCGACAGTTTTGTGCCAGTGTTAACGGCGCTAGCAAATTAGCAAGTCCGTTCTGAACGCAATAGACCTATGGCGTTCAGGGGTTGAAGCTGGTCCAATACCACGTCTTCAAAGATTATTATCAGGACGGAAGATGGTTCATTGGCAAACAGAATGCAGAAATTCCGCAGCAACATTCAAAACGTCTAAGGGCAAAGGATAAATCTGCAGTTCATCAAACATTCTTCAGGATTCTGCGTAGCTTTCGAAGTATTGTACTGCCAAAAGAATGCCAATTCAATCGCTGAGTCCGTGGGGAGGAAAATCACAGTTAGTGCCTTATAACGCCTCGGTATGGCCGGAGCGGGTGCTTTCAGAAACAAGCAATGCCATCCTTTGCACCCCAATGAAATGCCTCCATGTGACCTGCTAAAATGTAGCTCATGTTAGGGAATTCCCACTTACATTTAAGACTCCATACCTGGACACCCGAATTGAAATACGCTGATGACCTCGTTCTGTTAGGTGACGTATCCTGAATAATCCAACTCGCTACGCAGCACTCGGAGGGTTGAAAATCAAGACGTCAAGAACCACGTTTTCCTCCATCGGCGTGGCCATTCGGTCTCTCAGTCTAAGAGATAGAATAACCCATCAGGTTTCTCACTTCAAATATCTTGGTTCCGCCGTCTTCATTCATCCGTAACACCCTTCCGGTGCCTAGCTGCCGAGCTACCCGAAGGAAGCACGGGGGCTGGGAAACTGGCAGATTGTCCAAGCCTAGACAGGTGAAGTCGAGAGGCAGAGGTCGGGTTCGGATAACCTTCAAGCAGCTGAACTCGGTCTTGTGGGAAAAACAGATTAGTTTACGCATGAAAATCTAGGCCTTCAGCCTGGTCCACTGTCTAATCCTGAATTATGACTGCAAACATGACCGCCACGAGCAGATGACATCCGAAGGCTGGTTTCTGGCAATCTGAGGGTGTCCAGTGATGAGATCCGAAAACGTTGTCATGAACTACATCACCTCTCTCACGACAGCGTCTGCAATGGTTTGGTTGTCTGTCACACAAGAACGATAACGAAATCACCAGATAACCCTTGATCCCTACACGACGTCGAGGATGGCGTTATCGCCTAATTGAGTACGACTAATAGCGACATGGACCAGTTTGATTTCCATGTGCAGTTTGCGCAAATCTGCAAGCTTGTCGCGTACCTTGGCAGCGCGGATGAGACGTTTCTAAACAAATCACTCAGCTACAACCCTCTTTCGGTGCCTAGCTGTCATGCCATCCAAAGGAAGTACGAGGGCGCGGACACTATCTGGTTACCCAAGCCTAGGCAGACGAATTCGAGATGCAGATGTCTGGCTCGAACCATGGACCTTCCGGTCACAGGTTCTCAAACATACCTTCCGGGTATGGGCCGCATGATTGGAGTGGTTGTGTCGAACTGACGCGCAGTCTCGTTTACGTCGTAACGATACTTCTCATACACTATTGCCATCTGCAATTGTCTGTCCGGCACCATGTGAACCAGGTGACCCCGAGCGATTGACGTTGGCGCAAGAACTTCCCATTCCATGACAGTACGAAATAAGTTACGGCAGTGAAACCTCAGACGCATTGATCGCGTTGTTCCGTCTCATCTGCTGTCCAAGCAGATTAACGGACAAAACCGTCAAGCAGTGTTTGGGATTTCCAGACCTGCACGTATCAACCACGTGATACAGACGGAACTTGCCGAACTGGGTCAGCCGACCTCGTTTATGGACTCACGAAGTGTGCGTGCAACATTGCATTCCGATAAGCACGTCGATTCTTTAGTCCATACTGTGTCGAATGAATTTCAGCTGTGAACGGTGAGACGTTTAGCCTGAGCGCATCCGAGCGAGTGATTTCTCATAAGGTGGTGACATTTCTGAACAGTGGTTGTGAAGATACCAAACAACTGTTCACTGAACCGTCAAGAAAATTCTACCTGATGAGTGCATCGCTGTGAATTAGTGATCGTGTCAGTTTTTTGACGGTGGCGAGGACATAACTCTAGGCCTATTCCTGTGACCAACAAGCGTAGTGTGTACCCCAGGATTGGAGGTAAACACTGCCTCTCTACGATGCCGCGTATTTCCGAACACTGAATGCTGTCTCCCAACCAACTCCTGGATCCATTCAACAACACCCGTGATATGTATCCGGCTTGACCTGATGAGGACATAAGGGACAGATCTATCGTTTACATAAAAAACCGTTTAGTTGTAGCACCCTTTCGGTACCTAACTGCCATGCCACCCGAAGGTTGCACGAGGGCTGCCAGGTTGCCCAAGCCTAGACAGGGAGTTTACATCAATATTTATACCAATTGGCAATCGACTACTATGCACAGTGAAATGGAAGGATTGACTAGTGTATTAGACTTCAGGATCGTTCTTTTGATTGAAAGACTGCAGTACGGCGCACATAGCTATCATCGATCTGGAAAAAACACTCGGAACTAAACAACCATGCTTTAAGGGTTTGCCTATTGAAAATGCATCAATATTGTCGTAGGGGTGCAGGCTATATAGCATTGATACACGCTTGTAAATGCGACTGTCCAATAAACGAGATAAGAACAATCAACCCCACTGATACTTCCTAATACCGCACGATCGATCCGACAAAAAAATCCTCCTGCAAGCTGGGACCTTCCACAAAACAAGGCGAGGCATAGCAACTCGAAGGAATAAACAGGGTTTGTGGTTTGGTGGAGACGCTCCCGCACCACCGTGACGGTTTACGAGAGCAGCAAACAAACGGTACTTGAAGAAATAGATCAATTTCCTGCTCGCAATATGTAGCCTGCGGGAAGATGAAATCTGGGCCGAAAAAGAGACAGGCATCTGGTACATATGACCGACAAATACATGTCGTGTACGGTTGCGATCTTATACACAAAAACGTTTCGCAAGACACATCGAATTATTCTTCAAGAATACCGAGAAAGCATGCAAACGTCATCATCACCATCATCAACAGCATACATCAGTGTGTAACATCACTGCTTCGCTGCAAATGTCACTGGTCAGAATAGCCATAAAATTCGACAAAAAAAGGCTCATAAACAGCAAGCTACCGGCAAGCCAAGCAACACATTTTTACCATCTACTTGATCGAAGTTTTAATGTAACATGACCAGACCCGGTTGTGTGCCGCGGTAGAGCAGGCCCCGCTAAGCGCAGAAAGCACCATAAGCCTTCTGAATAACCGAAAACAAGTCAACGAATGAGGATTCCGTGTAAAGCATGGGAAAATATGTTGAAAAAACTGCCACGATGATGGGGCCCTCAGGTTGTAAAGCCAAGCCACATTGCTACGGTTGTGAATGACCCACAAAGAGATGGATGCGCACCGAAATAACATGTGTGAATTGTGACCACCCGGTCTTTTCGAAAAAAAATCACTTCTGACTGACGGGAGAGTGAAAGTACTTTTTGGACAAGCATACAGTACAACGAGGATCGTGGAAGTTGATGCGATCATGAACGTTGGACCACATACAAGGAGACCGGCGTGCAAAGGAATGAACCACTAGAGGGGTTGAACAGCAAAGATTGAGAAAATCCTACGGACATTACCTGTGGACGGTAAACAAAATAAGAAACTACCACATAGAGCCTAGACACATGGGTGGTGGTGCTGCTGATAAGCTGCAAACCAACAAAGGAGATTAACTTCCGCCCAGATGAAAGCACGACCTTCCTATGAATTGAACGAATGGCACGTATCTCAGCTCGCTTGCTCTTTTGCGAAGCAAAGTCAAAATTTATTCAACATGTGTGATTCTTTATAGACAGGACACAACAAGAGAAGAAGCCACAGGCCGTTTCCCGAGGAGATTCAAATCAAAGTGGTCCCTACATCATGTTAAGGATGGCGTTGTCACCTCGGATGACAACTAAACCTGGCTGAGTCAAGAGCGACACGGTCTCCCTGTGATACGTCAGTGGATCCCGATTTGTGCAGGTCTGCGGCCCGCTGCAGGCACTCAAATGTCATTCAATCTCGGGGAAAGAACGTCTTAGCAAAGAGTGAAAAGAAAGGGAAAGCATGCAAACACAATGCAAAGAAGACATATGTTCTCAAGGATCACGACCGAGAACAAATGTTTATAGTAGCAGCAATGGGCCTTACAAGGGAACAAGATGCGATCAGTGGAATTGACCCAGCATAGTTTGTAAACCTTACCCAACGGAAGCTCAGTGCACAGCGATACAAAATTTAGCGAGGTAATTTGGCTGGGAAATGACAGCACGCTAAATGGAATAGGTTATGTGTCATGTCCTGTAAGGTTTTGAACCAAGTGCGAGCAGAATTAGCTGCACCCCAACTTGAAAGGTTCGAAGATCCCCATATCACCCGATTTGACTGTAACTGCTTTCGTTTCGGATCCCCCTTCGGGGCAAGGTGATTGCCCGAAAGGGTTTGGAAACGTTGGATCGCGTAGAATACGTCCCAACAACCTGAGCCTTACAGCTTTGGCGAATCCGATTCACCAGTATGCACTCCCTTACGCAGCACTTCGTCGCGGACAACTAGCGACCAACTAACTCTCCATTAACTACAAAGGCACTGGTGATGAATGCGTTTCAGGAAGATCGTTTCAGAAGAGCCTAGATTCGCAAACATAAAGTGTAGGGGGTCTAGTTTCAAGGAAATTCGGTTTCAACGGCATAAACAATGCCAGTTAGCAAACACTGTCCGCGCGTCTACGGTAGTAATTTCATCTGTCACAGTACAATTGCTGCAGTATAGCTGTTCGAACATATAACCCGATCAACAAACTCACGTTTTTCGGCCTTAATTTTCAAAGGTACACAAATGCTTTGGAATCGAAAAAGAAGGGATATGTATCAGCAAGTTCCAAGAGTACTCCTCCCGCTGTCCATGTATCCACCATACAAGGGTTATTCTATCTACAACCGAGAGATCATTTCATGTCAACCGAACAGTGGTTGTTGGTTGTAACGCTGCTCAAACATCTGATGTAGTGTAAACATGGGGAACTTCCATTGACGCCCTCAGTTTCTTATTTCGCATGCCGGAGTACTATGGAAGCTAGTAGCCGTTTTATGATAATAATAATAATAATAATAATAATAATAGTCGTTCAGCTGTAGCGTTCTTTCGGTGCCTAGCTGCCATGCCACCCGAAGGAAGCACGAAGGCTGGGATAATGTCAGGTTGCCCAATTCTAGACAGGGAGAGTCCAGAGGCAGAGGTCGGGTTCGAACCACGGACCTTCCGGTCAGTAAATTCGCGCTCTAACCACTTGAACCATCTCGTTTTATGATAAACCTAAGGCATATGCATCTCTGGTTGGAACAGTCAGTTCGACACCTTTTCAGCGAACGTGCCGTGAATAGTTGGCACCACTCTATTGGAAGGCGTCCTTGTTCCCAAGTGAGTTCCAACAGGCTGGTCACGGCGTAACAAAAACTCTTCAGAGTCTTTCAATAACGCAAGCAGAAGCTAATCTGGCCCAGTAGACCGATGGGCTCTCAAGCAAGAGGCACATTGGTACTTTACAAACAGCAACTGTTTACATGTTGTCTATGAATGTTGTCGAGACATTCGAGGTGATCCTTTTCTGGATTCATCCTCAGGCTTGACATACTAATGCGTGAATTTTACGCCTATATGTATGCTGAGGCCTGACCAGATACCAAACATGATTCTTTCGCTTGAATGCTTATGGAAATAGCAGACAACTAATTGCTAACTGTACCACGATGTGTGAGCGGACAATGTCTGACACAAGTATTCCAGAAACTGAAAAGAGAGCAGAAGCTATGGCAGTGTGCTGAGGTGAATGTGGGATACGTGTGAGTTGCGGAAGATTATTGATGCCTTGGAGGGGAATGAAAACGAGGAAACCAGGATCAGAAGTAACCAGTGAAATTCGACTAACCTCGGAATCTGGTGAGCGAAGGCGCGGATCACGTGAATACAGACGAATCGACCAACCGATATGAATGTCATTCAGAGGCTTTTTAAAACACGCGTCGTGCAACTCGGTCAGTCCGGGGAGCTGGTCAGGGGAGAAATCCTGTGCGAGCACCAGACGGTAGCTAACTTTATCCGCAAGTTCAGGCCGGATGTGGAAATTTGGATTGACTGAAAAGGGAGGGGGTAAAGAGAGGCGATACCAGAAAAGGATCAGTCGATTATCAGGTACCGCTATTTAGTAAGAAAAATAGGTTTTTGAAACTGAACTTGTGTAGACGAAATGCAGGTAACTTCATTAACCTACAGCACACAGCGGTAGGCAACTTGTATTTGAAACTTTCGACAAATGGAACATGAGCGAAGATTGATGGAGACTAGCGGTTGCATTCTGGTTCACAGACTCATTGGATTCAGTTCAGGCAGCCAAAAGTAATATTTAAAGAGGTACAATTAAAAACCAGTAGCTAGACGAGTTCCAGGGTAGATATGGTCTTAATGAACAAATGTCGGTGGTTGGTTTGAGGTCGGTCCATGCGTCACATCCCACAAACCTTGACGTTTCGTATGTACTCTTGTCGAAAAAACCTCCCAGATGTTAAGAGGTACTTCATGCTAGTCGGGTGGACTTTATCATCAGACAGATGGACGAAATTGGAAACCTCAGATGGACTGGAGACTTTGGCCCTACTAATTCCTAGTAGGACCTACCTAGTAGGACCACTTTTTAGGAATCAGGAGACGCAGGTACTAATCAGCACAGCAGCTGAACTTTGAAAAGTTACGGCAATTTAGAGTGTTCGGAAGCTAAGCTCAGCCCATTCTTTGTACTGACTAGTGAGCCTGAGAGCTGAACGCGAATGGTTTGTTAAATACTGTTCAGCTGTGAACGCTGACACGTGTGGGCAAGGTGATAGTTGGTTTAGGAATTCTAATCAATTTCAAACCGGGGGCGGGCTGAATAACCGGATGACGCCTCAATGGTAAGCCTGTTGTACTGTGACGAAATTGGATTTTACATTGAAGAGATGACGAGCGCAACCAACGATATGAGGAAAAGTCATCCTCGTTATTCGTTCGAAAAGAAATAAAGGCACGCAGCTTAAGGAAACTAAGCGAGTGTCAGTTATCCATCGAAGGCTTGAACAACCAAGAAACTGCTGAGATGAAGAGTACACCAAGCCAATAGCGGCACACCGTTTCTCATCATCACCATCACTACCAGAGACAGCAACATCGGTGTGGGCAATGACGTTTCATTCCCGTACAACCAAAGTTCAATTATAACTAAAGCCTGAAGTGAAGAGAAAACAGCGGGAGACGGAGGGACCTGGTGCAAGCTTATCAAAAGCGCTCTGAGGTACCAACACCTCTAAGCGATCAGTTAGACAACCTGGGAAGAAAGTAACCGCACGAACGCCGTTGAAATCAGTTAGCCGTCATATCTTGTAATGTCTCCAGCCAAATCCAGGGGGGAGTGGTGTTCTAAAGAATGACTCTGCACTTTGAGCAAAGCGCAGACAACCTGGGAAGAAAGTAACCGCACGAACGCCGTTGAAATCAGTTAGCCGTCATATCTTGTAATGTCTCCAGCCAAATCCAGGGGGGAGTGGTGTTCTAAAGAATGACTCTGCACTTTGAAGGTGCAAAGCGCATGCAGTATTATGGCATACCGTTTGTAGGTAAAAAGACGAGTTCACTCATAACAAACAAGGGACACATCATTCAGGTGCACTGATAAACAGTAATTGGATTACTCTGTCCAGGAATAGCCCATCACAACTGTACGATTGCACGCAAAATTAATGCTCTTTTAAAGAGCGCACCGAAAGTAAATCCTATGAACGTCATGCAATGGCACGAGCTAAAACCTCCACCTAAAGGCTTTTAATGGGGTATGGAATATTTATTCAGCAGAGGATATATACTGTGCATCCGATACGCACACACGAATACCAGCTTTTGGATTACATTTGATTAGCCAAAATGTGACGAAGGGAACAAGGCGCCAACTCCAACATATCAGAAAATTCGCGTTTAACAGGAGTGAAAAATTTTAGAACAGCTGCGGAAAGATGACAGTGAGTGACCGGCCGAAAGCGTGGCTTCGCTCGAAGTACGGAGCTTTTATACAAAACAAAAACGGCGCTCAAACAGCCTCCAACTGGTTATGCTTCACTATGGGAGGATTTGAATATAGGCTGGGATGAAAAAAGGACAACGGATTATTTGAGAAAAACATATATCCGTTCCAAATATCTGGTTAGGGTAGCGACTTGGCCGATCCCACGCCTCTCCACAAAGAACCACGTTGACCGCATCCCGCGAGTGGAACATCGTACACCTAAATTATTCACTATGCTCATGTAGAATCGGATAAGAACCAACAAAGTGAGCAGTGGGTTTACAAGACGGCTGAAGCTGAAAAACGAAAGTCACTAGGCTCAGGTGATGCAGCAGCGTTGAGTACCTGGCACTTGGAGGCGCGATTTGCACTGTCTTCTTGTGTTTCTGTGTCTTGAAAACCTCTGCAGATAGATCAATCCCGCGTTTCTAGCCTACCTTCTTTATAGCATCGTCCTTGTTCCCAGCAATTTGTGATTTGCCGATAAAATGTTTTAACTGCCACGTTCGTCGTACGGTTTCGCGATGTGTCCGTCATATGCTAACCAAAGCGACTCCCATCTGACAGATATCACAAGCATCAGTACACACACACACACACACACACACACACACAGTAGCCGTCAATACGGTGTGGAGAAGGACTTGGCTGGACACAGCAGTAGCAACGCAAAGACTATTTTTGGCAACGCCATCAGTTGCACTTCAGCAAGAATCAGTCAAAATTAAAGGAAAATCCAATTACTAGAAGATAACCACCGCGCCAAATGGGGCAACAAACCCACACATATAACCCGAGTGGACTGAATGTGTAACCTAAGTTATCCTCCAACTGTACAACATTGCTTGCGACACTTTCTATCTTTAGCGAACAGGGTTTTGGCCTTGGAATCTGATTTGTGTAATTTACAATGAACTCGAGTGACTTGCTAGAGGACAAGAGGTCGGATAAGAACAGGAAGCAAGTCACTCTCTGGTGAAATGAGTGGACCACACTCTTTGATCGTGCGATCAGATTCACTAACGCTGGTTGCATCCTAACAATGCATACTGACAAAGGTGCATTTCGGCATTCTGGTGAGATGAGGAAAGCTGAAAGTCGAAAGCAGGAGCATCCCAGGCTTTGAATTGAATGCTAAAACGACAAACTGATGTGTAATTGACATGATAGGGATAACTGTAATATAGTGATCGATCAAGGGATCAGAGTGAACAGTGGTCGTTCTGCTGCAGTTATACTTTCCAAATCTGTAGATGCGATATCATGTGGTATTCACATCACTTTCAAGGATTCAGCAATCCACTTCTAAACGTCCCAGCTTTTTGAATACCAGTACTCTACAGAAGGGGTGATATTGTTAGCCATAGATGAATAATTTCCAACGGAAATCAACAATCCAATCATGGGCTCGACATATGAGCACGATATGATTCACTCCCGACCATTACCCAAGATAGTTTGTATTACGTGCCTGAAATTCCAGCAGATAAGCCATAGGTGAGTTATTAGGTGGAATACCGAAGGGAGTAGGTATCAGTCTCGTCGATGTTCAACCAAAGTGGAAGTAGGGACATCCGGAGAAGGGTTAGAATGTGCATTCTTTGCCGCAAAAATCATCATTAGCAAGTCTTTTAGGCAAATAGCTAGGACTCAGGAACTGGGTGATACAAAGACTCGCTGGAACCGGAAAAAAGGTTCGCGACGGCGGAACTGCTTCAAGCAACGAAAACATCTAAAGTTTCTTCAAAAAGCAGCTGAAAGAATTGCTGCTACGAAGTTCAGTTGGTAAATACTATTTAGTTCACAATCCGAAAACGACAGGTGTTCTGACAAGCGATCAAATGAAAAAAAGCGACTTTTAGTGCCATAGTTCCACGTGTGACAATCCATGACAATATGCCCAACGTCACCCAACCATTGCAAGATTTTGCTCACCTACTGAACGAAACAGATAGACCCTTATTTGTGTCACAAACCGAATTCCTGTTGTCAAGATCGGAATGTATCTATTTTCCTCAAAGTTGGACCTGACCCAATCGTCCGTATGTAGGGCTGAACCATCGAGGACCGATGTCTCTCGATTTCACCAGTTCTAGAGCTCCCGCAAAACATTTGTCTAGGAAATTAAATTCGACGTCAAACCACCGCGTTGCATTGACAATTGGATTCTTCCTAACCTTATTTCTGACTTCCACGAAAATTAAGGTTGATCGCTCGACAGATGGACATGTGTTCCACCAGGCATTCACAGTCCCGTGAATGGTATGTTTCGCACATATACATAGCATAATCCCATCATCCAGGCACTTGAGACAGTGGCCCCTTCGCTTGCTGGGTTCCGCAAAGTATCTCAAGAACTTCCTTGTATGCTGGTGGGGAGATGGCTCAAATGGTTATAGCGAGAATCTACTGACCGTAAGGTCCGTGACCCGAACCCGACCTCAGCATCTCGATTGCTCCATTCTAGGCTTGGGCAACCTGGTATCTCAGCTCTCGTGCTTCAACCGGGCAGCCAGGAACCGAAAGGGCACAACAGCTGAACCATATATCCTTCCTTTGCTATCTTAAACAAACAGGTAACAGCACATGCGTCCATTTTTACACGGAAGAGTAAGGTTTAGTGTGGATGCTTCATTATTATGGCTCAAGATCCCGTAAGCCGACAAAATAGAGAAATATGGGTGTTCCAACCACCACCAACCAACACAGTGAACGTAGGCGTGCAGTATAGCCAGAGCAAATAGCCATGTCTCGGGGTATCAGGTATCATTCACGCTAACAAAACTGTTCGCTGAATACGACCGTCTTACTTTGACCAAATAGAGGTGACACACGGAACTCCGCTAAACGATATACAAAGTTTTTCTTAACAAAGTCATGGTTAGCTTTACTGCAACAGCCCAAAGAAACAAGAGTTTCGGTTGTGCGAAACCGCATGGGACAATGAAAATTCAGGGAACATTCACGCTTCTAATGAGCTTAATCACTGCTCAAACAGGCATGACGGTAAGTAGCAGTCCAACTCTAGGGTAGAGAGTAGAAGAAATCTCCGACTGAACCCATGAATCGTCAAACTACTAACATCCAGCTGTAGTGCCCTTTCGGTTCCTGCGTGCCTTACTGCCCGGTAGAAGCACAACGGCTGAGATACTGCCAAGTTGCCTAAGCCTAGAATGGAGTAGTCGAGATGTTGAGGTCGCGTTCGAGTCACGGACTTTACGGTCATTAAGCTCACGCCTTAACCACTCGAACCAACTCCTCACTAGCATACAAAGAAGTTCCTGAGAAACTCTGCAGAACCCAGCAAGCGAAGGGGCCGCTGCCTCAAGTGCCTGGACGATGGGATTTGCTATGTATCTGCAGAACCCAGCAAGCGAAGGGGCCGCTGCCTCAAGTGCCTGGACGATGGGATTATGCTATGTATATGTGCGAAACATGCCATTCACGGGACTGTGAATGCCTGGTGGAACACATGTTCATCCGTCGAGCGATCAACCTTAATTCTCGTGATAGCACAAGGCAGATCAAGCTATGCAAAACTCAACATATACAACTCAACAACATCACTCGGTCTGAACATGACCCGACTGGTACCAGAGCAAAACAGGAACTACAGCGGATCGGTAATTTGATCGCCCGTTCGAACGACTCATTCGAAAGAAGTTCTCCTATTGGTCGAAATCTGGCTTTCAGGCCCCTACTACTGTGGGACAACGGGACCAGTCAAGCAATACTTTTCAGAGGCATGTCGATTGAATTTTTCACGAGTAGGCGACCTGAAGAACACTAGAACGGGGTAGAAACAGTCGATTCGACTGTGATTACAAGCCCAAAGAGGGATTCTAATTGTGAAAGTATGAAGTATCGTATACTATTCGCATCAACAAATCAGGCTTTTGAAAACTGAGCAAGGTGACACTATTTTGACATTTAAACAAAGTAAACAGTTAGTAGGCCTTCTTGTATTTTTCACAAACCTAATTTTTGACGGCAATCGGTCACATTAGTGTGCACTTAACACAAACTGTTACCAGGATGGATACACCCACGAGACGCTGTTAGTAATTTCATAAAAGACAAACGTCTCAGGGGTGTTTCGTTCAAAATTTGATTTTGGCCAAGGACGAAATGAGTGTTGCGGGGTTATCGATGTGGTTACTGCCGGGGCTAAAGGATGCATGCATAAGAACAAACCTGGTTGGGTACTCATGAGTCTAGCACGGTTATCTTACACTTCCCACACTTCAAATAGAATGACTCAGTACGTCAGCAAGCGCTAAACACTGTCAGCATTCGACAGCGATACATCATGGTGCGCATAAAGTACTGGTGAAATATACATACGGCCAGACGCCCGAACACTAAAATATGGTTAGCTACACGCGCAAACCGTATTGCATCTATCAATGGAAGTTAGGGGAATTCACTGTGCAAGAACACCTACTACCAGTGATTGTTATGCCTGATGTGGCATTTTCCGCCCTTGAAAGATAATGCATCCGCGACAAACAGCATATGCTACTGAAAATGATTTTGCATCCTCTTCGAAAAGTGAGCTAATGCGGTAGGACTTGCAATCAGATGTTATACCAACGGTTTGGCATATGGGAAAGATCTTAGCATTGTTAGCGATTCAGTTTTTGAGGTTGCCCGATTGATTTAACGCCTCAGTTATAGTACTTGAATTAGAGGTTTGGCGGAAGGTTCGCATTTCAAATACACCTGTCTAGACTTGCACAACCTCACAGTTAGTCAGCTCCTGTAGTTCCTGTGGTCTGCATGATAGATAAGCATCGAAAGAACGCCACAGACAAACGACTTTGTTCCAGTATTGAGCTGAATCACAACGAGACTCCCCGGTTCAGAGTACATTACATTCGTTCGCTGTGGTTCAGTAGCAGCGGTTATGTGACAATGAACCAAGTGGACATTAATCCACAGCGGTATACGGTCGAACCATGGGCCAATCGGGCACAGACACTGTGAACAAAATCTAGGCAAACTTGAGCACAAAGCTACGTGAGAACTGCCCAAACGGAGCACGAACTAGTAAGGACACGCACGATATACCCTGTAGTTCAGTGTTTTGCGTGCTCGATTCCCCGATTTTCCGCATGGACCAATGTGTGAGAACGTGCGCTGAACCAGTACACCTGGACCGATTCTCACAATATAAAAAACCGGCACAAACACGTGAATCCCCGCCGGTTGAGCTGAGTTGCACATAGCTGCACATAGCAGTGATCTCTACCCCCGGGTAGAAGGATAACGATGTCCAGTGAATTGAAAACAGGTTGTTATTTTTAGGAACTTGCGGGTGGGTGGTAATTTGAGGCTCACAACGGACGCGCTAATCATTGGAAAGATGCTCCAAGTGGAATAAGTCGTCGGCGAAATACACTTATTTGCACATTAATGCGGTTTCAATGGGAGACTCGACTGGATCCAGCTGAATCTCTCGTTTACGATGTTCTTCAACAGAACGAGTACACTGTCCGGACGACGACCTACGGTCGGTTTCACCATTCTTCAGGTAAGCGCAGTCCCCGAATGGAATCTATGGTTAAAATCAAATTAGTGTGCAAGAGTGCAATTAGAAGATAAACTAAACTATCTTAAATGGCCGTCTGTCCCTCGGACCATGAAGTAAACTAGTCTGCGTGCTTTGTGTACCGAAAAGGTTAGACCGTTTGAAAATTGCACATAGAGTGGACGATCCGACACCTGTCCATTTGGAAGTATCAGTTCGAGGATCACCCGGAATTGGACCACTCTATGAACAGTCATTCCTTGCTGACTTTTGGTGCCACCTACGCTAAATACTTCCCTGAAAGCATCCAGTCTATCAAGCTTGAGATGGAGAAACTATCCGACATCATCGTTTCTTTGTGCCACATTCCCGATTCGCAGTTAAGTGAGGTCATTCAACCCTCCTCCTCACAACTGTCCGTAGGCCGTTCACTGGACGCCATTAGGCTGTCAGAGTTCTCCGAAACCTGCAATTCATGTTCATCGTCTGAATGTGAACCGAACTCTACAGAAAACGGAAACACACAATAAGTGAATGGAGAGCGTTTAAATAACACTGTATATGTACAGCAATAACCACTTGCAGGGGCCCTTGACAGATTCAGTCAAAACTGGTCGCTCAATATAGGCTGATGTTGATTAGTGGTTGCCAGTAACGTCCGTTTTCTAATATTGCAGAACTAATGACGCTTATGGCGTCGATAAAAAGTTCCTTTTACGAATGTGGGAAATCAATCCCTGTGAGTCATGCAAGTGGCTGACCAGGGACGATCACTGAGGGACAGCGGTTGCCTTAAGGCTACAGCAAACCCAGTAAAATACGCCACGAATGTCCGAAAGAGGCAGATGCTATCGACATTAAGGCCATCCTTAATTGCCCATCGCTCTGGGATGCACACCATGAAACAAAACGTAATTTGGGGCGATGTAATTTATAACGGATGAGATTTCCTCGGAGCAACTGTCCTAACTAAACTGTAAGCTACACACAAGTCATAACCAGCCTCCCGCAGACTGCAACGCCCAACTCCGATAAATGAAGTGTAAATACGTGAGCTTCCGTACACAAAGCAGTGTCCGTCAGGGATGCCCACTCTCGCCGTTCCTTTTTAACTTTGTGGTCGATGAAATAATGAGACGAACGTCAGAGGGTCTCCAAAGCCCTGGTGTTCGTGAAGAAAACCTTGTCGATCTGGAATATGCAGACGACATCGTTCTCATGTTCGAAGAGGCGGAGAAGGCGCAAGTATTCTTGGATGAACTGACCAAAGTCATCCCGTCCTTTGGAATGCACTTTGCACCTACAAAGTATAAGGTCATGCTCGTGGACGTGCAGTCACTGAACACGCAACTTGCAATCAAGGGAGAAACAATCGAAGTTGTGGAGCGCTATACGTATCTTGGGAGTTGTATTAGTTCTGAATGTAGTGTGACAGATGGGTTGAATGCACGAATCTGCAAGGCTCGGATCGCGTTTGCTAATTTGAGACATCTATGACGTCAGAATGGTTTATCGCTGAATCTCAAGGGACGTATGTATCAAGGTACAGTACAAGTCGTTTTGTCGTATGGCTGAGAGACGGCCTATTCGAGCAGCGGAACTGAGACGTCTTCAGGTGTTCAACAATCGTTGTCTCAGAACCATAGCTCGTGTGGGTTGGTGTCGGTCTATTCGTAACGAGGCAATTGGAAAGCACGTTTTCGGTTGTGCAACGAGTACTTCCATTGAAGAATGTGTCCAGCACCAGAAGCTGCGTTGGTTGGGACATGTGTTGCGTATGCCGAACCATCGTTTGCCGAAGAGGGTGCTGTTTCCCATGCCCAACTAAGAGTGGCGTAAACAGAGAGGCGGCCAACCCTTGACTTGGCACAGGAGGATGAAGGAGATCAGGAAACGCTTGGATGCTGTCGGTGCTACTCGCCTTCCAGGATGGGGACCGCGTGATCCTGACTGTGTCTGGTAAGCTAGCACTAAGTCCCTCCCCCGTCCACCTTTACTCTTTTCTTTACGATAAGGCTTTCAAATAAATCATGGTTGTACGGCAGTGAAGCATCGGTGTTGAACACTGATGTTATGGTGTCGATGATGATGATGATGATGATGATGAAATACGTGAGCAACTCTTCTACCTGGAAGAGATTGAATTGAACATCTGCTTACAGTGCCTTAATTGCTGGGGAAACCCACATATATCACCGATCGACAACTGCCGGTTTTTTTGGCTTTTCACTTCTCTAGAAATCCAGATAAATTAACATACCTATTCTATTCTATAAGAAATGCCCTTCAAATTTGTGATATCAGCTTTGTATCCATTGTCCTAACACTTCTGGCTGTATGACGGTTCACAACAGAACTAATGAGATTCGTCCATCGTCTCTCGTTTTGTTCAAGTTCGTCAGTGATACAACCATGGGATGAATGCTATAAGAGTCCGGATACCTAGGAGTTCAAGTGTAACCAAGTTAGCAGGATCCGTTCCACATAGCACGCCAACAATGGTTCATTGTGCACCTTCAAAACTTTAGAGGAGAAGTCTGAGTTTGGTGATCGGTCTACGTGTCCGGAAAGCTGATTGTGTCCGAAAGCTTGATTGTACTGACCAATGTTGTCGAGTGTCAACTTTCGCTAACTCGCTTTATTTAGTGAACCGGAAACGGAATTCATTGAATCTGAAGGGTTTCGTATGCAGGGTAATGATAAAAGCAGATTTACTTTGCGAAACTTCACCCCCGATGTGAAGACCTTCAGATATTCCGTCACTTCAGCTTTCACAAAATGACAGATGCGTTTGCAGATAAGTGGTTGGGACATGTACTACGAATGCCCAGCCACCGTTTACCAGAGTGCTGTACTTCTTTTCATTCCGAATCCTAGTTGGCAAAAAGTTCCTGAAAGACAGGCTATGACGTCATAAAACTAAACGAAAGCTGCTTTCTTCCAACGTACTAAAACACGTAGGAGGCGCACAACCACAACCAGCCCGGTCACGGAAGTTTCCCGTCACATTTCTAGAGTGATAGTTCCGAAAACCTAGAGCGGTTTCATCATCCAAGAGAGTAATTTTTACGACTAATTACAACTATGTCAATCGAGGTCATTCGAATATGTATGTTTTCCACTTAGCCGTTAACACCATCAAAGCCACTAGGCTTGAAACGTCTTATGGCTATGAACCAGGAGAAAGATACCCATAAATCGGCAACTTCCCTTTCTATCATAACTTAGAGAATTCTCATCCATCTGTCACGCCGACAAGA